GTCATCAGGACTCTGTATCACAGAGCAGACAGCGTCCCCACTAGCTCTGGAGCCGGGCAGAAAGAAATCCCACACAAGACAGGCTCTAGAGCAATGTGGATATCCTAACTGGGCCTTCCTGAAAGCAGAGAAGAAACCCAAATAGGACTCCAGTCAGCCAACAGGTGAAAAGGAGGAACCCAGACCCAGACCAGTGGTCATTCCATATGTTTAGGGAGTATCAGAGAAACTGAGACGTTTATTTTCTAAACATAACGTCCCAGTGGCTTTTAAACCCCAAAATACATTACGGCAAAGACTGGTTCATCCCAAAGATCCAGTCCCCCGGCACAAACAGAGTAATTTTGTGTACTCTGTTCAGTGTCAGGAGGGCTGTGGTCAGTCTTACATCGGGGAAACTAAACAGCCACTGGCCAAAAGTATGGCCCAGCACAGAAGATCAACACCATCAGGCCAGGACTCTGCAGTCTACACTCATCTCCAGGCCAGCGGTCACTCTTTCAGGGATGAAGATGTGCACATCCTGGATAGAGAGGAACGATGGTTTGAGAGAGGAGTAAAGGAGGCCATATTTGTGAAAAGAAATCATCCATCGTTAAACAGGGGTGGAGGCCTACGTGTTCAATTGTCCCCCTCTTACAATGCTGTGATTGCTAGTATCACTCAGCCCTCTGTGAGTAGTAAACAGCCATCAGTGTGCTAATGATCCATCGTTAGGCTGATGGTCCTTCTTGAGCATGTGATCAGCTGGTTTTGGTTGTCAGCAGCAAAACTGGTTGATCCACTCTGAGACGGTGCTATTTAAGAGACTGAGCTGAATACAGCACCTCAGACTGAGGAAGTCTCTCGGATGAGAGACGAAACGTTTCTACATTTTTTTGTTGTTTGCTTTGTTTTGTTTTTTTGAATGTCCAGAGGACCAGATTTAACTTTTTTAGATTTTTCTACCTGGATTATTGAGCATGCATCAGGATAATCTCCATAATTATTACAAATAGCATGTGGTCCACAGGTAAAACTAATCCCGTGTGAATAGGGCTATACTCGTCATTGGTCCAAACAGTGTTACCAAGTCCACTCAAAACTTCTTCCTCAACTTTTACAACATCACCCTCACTCCATCCGCACTCATTCGTAATCTTGGTATTCTTCTGGACTCCACTTTTTCATTTGAATCACATGTCAAACGGATAACTCGGACTGCATTCTTCCATCTCAAAAACATAGCATGACTCCGCCCATCACTCACTTTTTCCACTGCTGAAATCCTAATCCATGCCATTGTCACATCCAGAATCAACTATTGCAATAGCATTTGTAAGGTACACTATCAAAAACTCTCAACAAACTGCAATATATTCAAAACTCTGCTGCCCGCCTTCTCACCCACACCTGCTCCCGTGAACATGTCACTCCTGTCCTGCAGAAACGTCATTGGCTCCCCATCACTCAGCGCATCCATTTCAAGATCCTCCTCATCACATTCAAAGCCCTCCATAATCTGGCCCCTCCATACCTGACTGGCCTACTCCATGACTACACTCCTTCTAGTACCCTCCGCTCCTCCGATGCCAACCTTCTGTCTCTCCCCTGTAGGACCAAGCTCTGAACCTGGGGAAACAGAGCCATCTCTATTGCTGCCCCCACCCTCTGGAACTCACTTCCCAAACAGCTTCGTGCCTGCTCTGATCTCTCCACTTTTAAGAAAGAAGTCAAAACCCACCTGTTGAAAATTGCTTTTGTTTAAATTTGCCCTTTTAATTTTTTTACTGTTTTTATGTGTTATGCATTTGTTGAATTTATTTTTTTAACTCGTAAAGTGTCTGAGTATTTAGAAAAGCGCTATACAAATAAAATGTATTATTATTATTATTATTATTATTATTGTTAGCTTCACACTCAACATTCATCATCCCAATGTTACTTAACTTTGTTTGTGCCGGCGTCTTTATTTGATCTTTTTTCTGTTTTCCTTGGGGTGGCATCCTTGTTTTTTGGTGTATATTAAGGGCACTTTGTGAGGTATTTTCTTATGTATATCAATATTTGTTCCAGATTTTTATGGAGCAGTGTTGAGACTGACTTACTCGTAAGTGGCCATAACCGAATGCTGAACTTATTTATTAAAATTAAAGTAGTGAAAGATAGAATATCAACTGAGTCATGTTTTTCATTGACAGCAAACAGTTGCTTTGCTTTTTACCTTTTCATTTTCAATGTCCAACATCTTCTGCTGCAAAACTGACTTTGTCATTTCGATGGTCTCCAGCCACTAAACAGGAAACAGACCAAAACAGATGGAAAGATGAGTTTTATCAAAGCAAGGGACCTAACCACTGCACAGAGACAATAAGTGATGTACCTGTAGATCATTTATTGTACTGATGCAGTGGTCTGGTTGCATTGTTTCATGTTGTACAACAGCTTAAAAGAGATGTAAATCGACCAAGGTACCCAAATATTTGTAGGAATCGACAAACTCAATAGGGATACCATTTGAGGATAAAATCAGAGGAAGAACTGCTGGGACCGACTTCCTCTTTGGAAAAAACATCCTTTTGGTTTTAATGGCATTTAGAACAAGTTTGAGATGGAACAAATCTGACTGGATTTTTAAAATTTATTCAACCTTTATTTAGACAGGTTAATCCCATTAAGCCTCGGGGACTCATTTACAAGAGAGACCTGATTTCTTTAACAAAGAGTGATGACAACAGTGGATAACAACAACAATAGGCAATCGTAAAAGAGGCATACTTTTTTTACAAATTCAAATAAAATGGCAACCAAAAGGAAAGTCAAAAGGAAAAATCATTAAAAAAAAACCCTAGCTAGATTATAAGGCAGTGTAGAAAACTAAAAACAGTAACATGTCTGTGTCACCCACGTGACTGCCACAATCAAGCCCCATCCCCTTTAAATTCTGGGCTCATCATAGTTTTTATGTTTTTTTTAGCAACGCTGCTGCTCCCTCAGGCTGTCCTTGGCGTCCGTTATTATTTAAACAACTGGACAGTTACGCATCAGAAATGACTACCGCAATAAATCAGATATTTAATGGTGAGTCATCATCAATCAACCTTTATTTATACAGGTAAATCCCATTGAGCCTCGAGGACTCATTTACAAGAGAGACCTGATTTCAACAAAGAAAGATGACAACAATGGACAACAGCAACAACAATAAGCAGTTATAAAAACTCATACTACAGTTTTTTTTTGTTTTTTTTTTAACAAATAGGATGGCTAAAAGGAAAAAGGTAACAAAACAAAAAAAACAGCTAGATTCCAAGACAAATGTATAAAACTAAAAACAGGAACATGTCTGCATTGGACCTCGCCAGGAGTCCAACAGATTCTTAAAGCCACTTAGAGAGGTCAAGGTCGAGAGCTTCAAATCTTTTTGTAAGATATTCCAGGAAACAGGAGCGGAGTAGGAGAAGGCCCTTTTGTCTAGTTCAGTCCTCACTGAGGGAACACTGCAGGTAATAATGTCCTGAGAGCGCACTCCGTAGCTGCACTCACGCAGAGACATGTAGGAGGAGATGTATGAAGGCAGCAGACCAAGAAGTGATTTAAAGATGAAAATGTACCAGTGAGAGAGTCTGCGTGAAGTTAATGATGTCCAGTTAACCAATGAATACAGGGTGCAGTGGTGGGTACGATAATCACAGCCAGTTATGAATCTTAGTGCACCATGATAGACAGCATCCAACATCTGCAGGGTTCTTGTAGGAGCGTTCATGTAAATAATATCACCAAAATCAATTGAGGGAAGGAAAGTCACAGATACAAGGCGTTTTCTAGCATTCAGGGTTAGACAGGATTTGTTTCTGAAAAAGAAACCCAGTTTAACTTTCAGTTTCTTTACCAAGTTTTCCACATGGAGCTTAAAAGAAAGATGTGAGTCGACCAAGATACCCAAATATTTATAGGAATCAACAAACTCAATGGGGACACCATTTGAGGATAAAATCGGAGGAAGAACTGCTGGGACCAACTTCCTATTTGAAAAAAGCATCCCTTTGGTTTTTTCGGCATTTAGGACAAGTTTGAGGCGGAACAAATCAGTCTGGATGATGTTGAATGCAGATTTCAAAAGCTGGAAAGCCTTAGCAACTGTTTTAGCTCGACAATAAACAACTGTGTCGTCAGCATAGAAATGTATGGATGCATTAGGGATGTTTTTACCTACATTATGTATGTAGATTGTAAAGAGGGTGGGTCCTAAAACTGAGCCTTGTGGTACACCATTGTTGAATGTTAAATAACTGGAGGAAGTACCATTATGTTGAACACATTGCCTCCGGTCTGAAAGATAGTTAGAGAACCAACCAATGGTGTGATCTGAGAAACCGATTTCTGAGAGTTTATGACACAAGATGTTATGATCCACAGTGTCAAAAGCTTTAGAAAGGTCTAAGAAAAGTGCAGCACAATAATCTTTAGCATCCAGTGCTTCAACAACGTCATTAAGAACCTTCAGTGAAGCAGTGGTTGTGCTGTGTTGTTTCCTGAAACCAGATTGATGTGGAGGTAAGATGTTAAATGAGTCCATGTCGATGGTGTTAAAGTCTGATGTGTCTGATTTTCAACACCATTACCGTAACTTTTATATCCTCATGTTGTAGTGCTCACCAGGTTGTGGTCTGGCTAGCAGCTGGTGTAGCCACCGTTTTGCACCTCTGAACCCATTACCATTGCAATCCCTGCAGACAATCCGCTCCTCGATGGTGAGTCGCAATGTTTTGAGTCGTAATGTTATCATATAGTGTCAATTGTGATGCTACATGCTGCCAGTTGGCATTAGCCACTAATTCAGCTAACTGCTACCTTGGATCAGTCTGGTCCCATTACCTGTTTTTGTCCGTATATGGACATCCATTAATTTAAATAAGTAAGCCGAATTGAATTCAATTCAAACTCAATTCAATTCAAAAATACTTTATTAACCCAGAGGGAAATTATATGTTGTGGTAACTCATCATCCTGGTTTCATTAAAGAGTTGTTATAGATGCTGATGGCTGTGGGCAGGAAGGATCTCTTGTAGCGGTTTGTCCTACAATGGATTTGAAGAAGCCTCTGACTGAAGACACTTTGTTGTATGACATTCTGATGAATAGGGTGCTGAGAGTTGTCTATAATGTTTTTCATTTTATGAAGAATCCTTTTTTGAACAATCATCTCCAAAGGTTCTAGAGGAGTCCCCAGAACTGAGCCAGCCTTCTTTGAGCTTATTGATCTTTTTGAAGTCACTTGCTCTGGTGCTGCTACCCCAGCAGATGATGGCAGAAGAGATAGCGCTCTCTACAACAGACTTATAGTAGATATGCAGCATCTTGCTGCAAACGTTGAAGGACTTCAGCTTCCTCAAGAAGTACAGTCTGCTCTGTCCCTTCTTGTAGATGGCTTCACTTGCATTTCCAGTCCAGTCTGTTGTCCAGGTGAACCCCAAGGTATTTATACTTCTCCACTTCTTCTCCCATGATGGAAATAGGGTTGGACCTGTTCCTGATTCTCCTGAAATCTACAATCATCTCCTTTGTTTTGTTCACATTCAAGATGAGATGATTGTTTCCACACCATGCCACAAAGCAGTCCACCAATTCCCTGTACTCAGCTTCTTGTCCATCTCTGATACACCCGACTACTGCAGAGTCATCAGAATATTTCTGCAGATGACAGGAGTCTGTTTTATATTGGAAATCTGAGGTGTACAGAGTGAAATGGAATGGTGAGAGTACAGTCCCCTGTGGTGCTCCTGAGCTGCTGACCACCTAGTTAGACACACAACCCTTCAGTCTCACAAACTGTGGTCTGTCTGTCAGGTAGTCTTTGATCCAGGTGATTGTTGAGGCCTCCACCTGAGTTTTCTGGAGTTTCTGACAAAGCAAACCAGGCTGGATTGTGGTAAATGCACTAGAAAAATCAAAGAACATGACTCTAACAGTGCTGTCTGCCTTTTCTAGATGACAGTGAGTTTGCTGAAGCAGGTGTATGATGGCATCTTCAACTCCAAGTCCACGCCGACAAGCAAACTGCAGTGGGTCCTGATGTGTGCTTGTTTGTTTAGTCAGGTGGGCCAACAGAAGTCTCTCTAGGACCTTCATGATGTGGGATGTCAGGGCAACAGGTCTATAGTCATTGAGGACTGATGGGTGAGTTTTCTTTGGCACTGGAACAAGGCAGGATGTTTTCCACAACACTGGAACCTTCTCCTGCTTCAGGCTAAGGTTAAAGAGGTGCTGCAGAATCCCACAGAGCTGCTCTGCACAGACCTTCAGGACTCTGGGACTGACATCATCTGGACCTGCAGCCTTATTCTGGTTCAGTCTCTCCAGCTGCTTCCTCACTTGACTTCTGGAGACGTAGAGGGGGGAGGCAAAGGAGGTATCAGCATCTTCTGATTTGGTTGAAGACCAATATGTAGAAGAAAAGTCCATGACTGAGGTGGTAGATACAGTATTTGAGGTGTGACAGGACAGCCTTGTGTCAAAGGAGGGTGGTATGTATGTATGTTTGGCTCTGGGCAAGAGAGGAGAATGCTGAACTTGTTCCTGAACTGAACCTATTGAAGAATGTGTTGTTTGTTGGCTCTGTCTAGGCTTCCATCCTTCTGATCCTCCTTCTGCTTGAAGTCTGTGATCTTTTTCATCCCTGCCCACACCTCTCTGATATTGTTCTGCTGGAGCTTGCTCTCCAGCTTCTTCTTGTACACCTCCTTGCTGTTTCTTATCTTGACTTTAAGTTGCTTCTGTGTGCTCTTCAATAATTCCCTGTCTCCCTCCCTGAAGGCTCTTTTTTTCTGGTTTAGCAGTTCCTTCAGGTCAGTGGTAATCAAGGGTTTGTTATTGGGGAAGCGTCTCACTGTTCTGGTGGGGATGGTGTTGTTTACACAGAAGTTTATATAGTCGGTCACACACTGTCATGGCACTGATGTCCTCTCCATTTGGCTGGCATGTTGCATCCAGTCTGTAGCCTCAAAACAACCCCGCAGGGCTTCTTCAGCTTCTGTTGACCATTTTCTCACTGTTCTCTTTATTGCAGGTTGCCTCTGAACAAGGGGTTTATATTTTGAGCAGAGAAACACAAGATTGTGATCTGATTTGCCAAGACAGGGTCTTGCTTTAGAGATGTATGAATCCTTGACATTTGCATAAAACAAGTCCAGCGTTTTGTTTTCTCTGGTAGAGCAGCTGACAAACTGTTGGAATGTCAGAAGTGTAGCAGAGATAGAGGCATGATTAAACTTGACTTCCGGTAATATGGCG